TGGGGTGAGGAGATTGTCTGGGTGACTTTTCATGCTACTTTAGCTGTGTTAGTTTAATTAAATAATATTTTTTATTTTAAAGATTGGACTTTTCCCGACGATGGATCTATTAGACACTTTTCTTGAGGGATTTAAGTCTAAAAAAAATTCTTTGTAGGTAGTGTAGTAACCCCCCCTTGGTTTTTCTTTGTGTCGCGGTTCTTTTCCAAGGGTTCTGTTTGAACCGGGTGTAGTTAGTTTTTTTTGGGAGCAGGAGCCATTGTGTTGTGTTTTGAATTGAAGAAATATCTCTTGACTTTGTTATGCCTTGAGAATAGTGAGTACTTTGGTTGTGACGCTTAGGCTCAGTTTTTGACTCTTGTATAAGTACCTTAAATTGTATGTTCTTAACTTTGCTTAACTGCTTTGACTAGAGTGCCTTGATGATCCAATCTTGAGTGAGTCATGTGCCATGTGCGTGTGAGGGTTGTTGTATTCTGTGCATTGCATTTGATGCCTAAAACTTGCCCCGTGTGTTTACAGAGCGAGATAGTAGTTTTGTTCAGTCTTGAAAATGATATAGGCGTTTCTTTGTTGAGCCAGATATGTATATTTTACCCGCCTAATTGTTGTGTATCGTAGTTAACCCCTTTGAGCATATAATCCTATTTCTTTGGCAACCACATTACAAGCCTTACCCAATTATTTGAATTAACCATCTATTTGAACCTTTACACCTCTCATGAGCACTTGAATTGTTATGAACTGGGTAAAAGTTAAGTGTGGGGTGGTTGGTGTGGCTTTTGAGTGGAACTAATGAAATAAGGAGAAAGGTGCACTGTTCTGAAAAAGTAAGAGCCGCTTGAATTGAAAAAGAAAGAAAATGGAAAAATACTTGTATTGCTGTGAAAAAAATTATTCCTTGATAAGTGGTGACTCTTGATGTAATTGTGCTTAAAGAAGTATGGGGTAATATACATTAATGTGAAGGTGGAGTTTTGGTTTGACATAAGCATGTGCTTGAATGTTAAAGTATATGTATTAAAGTGCTTAGGGAGGTGTAGTCACTCTTATATCCAAATGTATCCTACCCATCCCGCAACCTACATTACAACCAAATAAAGTCCTACTTTATCCGAGACTAAATGAGCTCGATTAGTAGAGTAGTACACTACGGGCAAGCCTATGGTGCATCTTTTGTGGCATATGAATGTTATTTCTGAGAGTGAGTGAATTCTTTCTATCTTGAGTTCCTAAGTGTTCTTAAATTTTATTGTGTGGAACTACTCTCGTTTGTTGTGTGAGGGCACTTGATTCAAGAAGGAAAGGTAATGTCATTGACCTCTACGTTAGAGTAAGTGGGTGAGTTGTGAATAATGCGTGGTACTAGTGAGTCAAATCTTGAGGTGAAGATGTTACTCTTTTGTGCTTAGTCTATTTAAATATTCTTGGTGTGATGAGTTAGGAGAATTGTTTAAAAAGGTCGTGTCTATATAAAGTGTAGTTTGATTGCTCGAGGACGAGCAATGGTTTAAGTATGGGGTGTTGATGATAGGCTATAATTACGTATTTTAGTCGATTATTACATTCCAATTTATTGCACTTTAATTGAGTTTGCGCTTTAATCGCTAGTATTTTGCACTAATTGTGTGTTATATGCTTTGTAGGAGTGATTCCGAGCTATGTAGAGGTTATGGAATGAATTCAAGTGATTTGGATCTTTGAAGTCTGAGTAAAAGCCCAAGGAATTAAGCCGGGATCGTGTTTGGGGATCAACAGATGATAGTTAAAAACGAACGACGAATCGAGTAGGCATATTGCACACTGTCTAGTAAAATGCACATAACTTTTTGCTCAGAACTCCATTTGGGCTCCACAATATATGGTTGTAAAGCTAACTCAAAGGCTACAACTTTCATGTTTTACGTTTTTTCAAATTCCAAACAGAACAGGGTGAAAAGTGCACGTCAAGTGCGCGGCCGCGCTCGTCAAGCAGAATCAAAGTGGATATGCGCAGTCTAAGCGCGGTCGTGCACTTCCTGTCCGGGAAAAGTGTCCTTTTTCGCGTAGGAGAAGGTGGAATTATTTGGGCCCGACCCTATTTGGTATGTATACATGGAAAGACGATATTTTGAGGACTTTTGACATACTTTTGACATAATTTAGGCCTAAGGGGGATAAGGAGACCGGAGATTCGACCTAAGGAGGCAAGAACACACTGGGAGCGAGGCGGAGAATTCTTCCACAAGTTTTTCACTTCCTTCTTCCTATTTTCTTTTATTGGTTATGAATTCTAGTATTGTATTTTTACATACTATTATGAATAGCTAATTTGTTATCTGGAGTTTTGATAGAACCTTTTGTAGGATGAATTCTTGTTATATTTTTACATAATTAAGCCGTTGGATTTCTCTACTTGTTCAACTACGTGTTTGTTGTTGTTCATTGGATGGCCATCAATTGACTGTGCGTATTTAGTGGTGTACTGCTCGAGAGAGAGTACATATTTAGGTAGTTATTGAACAACGTCACTCCTAACATATGTGAGAAATCAATACATTGGGTTTAAAGGTAGGTTTAGAAATAACAAAGCCTTGACGTGGTCATAGTGAGCGGTTAGATGAGGCCAACTAGCGTAGTTCGAGAGAATATGTCTAGTAAATTGTTGTAGTTGCTTGAGAGAGAATTACGGCACCTAAAGTGCTCACGATCAGTAGAGAATACATCGGCGAAATTGTAGGAAACATAGCTGTAAGGATTCCGACAATTGGGGAAATCATAACTCTAGACCTCCTTAATTTAGTCTCCAACCCTTTGTCTCGTTAGTTGATAATTTTATCGCTTTCTAGTATTTGCTAGTTAATTAGTTAGAAATATAAATCTCAATCTTTATAATTTAGAAAATTGTTCAAACTTGTCTTTTTAGTGATATTAAACAGATATAGCAAAGCCTTAGTTCTCTGTGGGATTCGACTCCAAACTTTTAGATTGGATTATATTTGCAGCGACCGCTTATCCTTTTTAGGACTAGAGTTGGGCGTGACCAATGCCTCTAATCATACGCCCCAATTTTAATAGATCCCTTCAATGGGAAAATTCTCTTGAAGTCGTCCCTGAGTTTGTCAATCTGTGGTCTGTTTCTTGAGAACTTTCCCACCACAATCAACTTGCATTTTTCTGCTAACAAGTCATCCTCCTCCTTTGAGAATACTACTCTCGCTTTTCCTTCCACAAGTTCATAAGGCTTGTGCTCCAGTCGCACGTCTCTCCTTCCTCCTCCGCTCGAGAAACCATCCAGCGCAGTCAAATAACTTGACTTATTGAGGAATCCGTCGACAGTAGGGTTGGTGAGTGTAGTATGCACTCCCTGTTGATTTCCTCATTGCACGTTGCCGATTGGATTCATGGTAATGAGATTGTTTCTGAGAATTAGAATTTTGCCCTAGACATATGCTTCAACATATAAGTTGTAACAAGAAAGAAAGAAGACATTAGAATGTATAACACAATTAAAATGTGACCAAATTCTCTTTGCTTTCATTCCGTAAAAAGAAAATTTTAGATGTATTTTTTGCATTTGCAGTTCGTTTTTCTCAGAAGTTCACAAGTAATACACAAAAAAGTTACTCAAATTACATTCAGCCCCCAAATAAATATCAAAAGTTGACATTAATGAGATTTGTTATAATTGCATTCTATTACATTGCTATCTGCATCTGGTTCAGAAAGTATGCAAAGTTGCATTATCATATCAATAATATTTTAATAATTTAATATTATGTATTTTGAATTCAATAATTTCTTGATAGAAACATAAGTAACTGTTATTTTATTTATCATGAGCGAGGGTTAATTTTAGAACATATTTGAAAAGCGATTTTTGTTATTTCCTGGTACACTACCATATTTGCCCTACATTGACAATATCATAAGGGTTCGTGCCTTAGTGTCTATACTATCATGATTCAGTATTAATTGTTTATTGGATAAGATCATGTTACAAAGTGTTGTCCATATTTACATGTTTTTAAAATCTACATCATATATGAAAAACTTGTTTAGCTCAACATTCATTTTATAAAAAAGAATTTCTCACTATCAACACAAGTTAATACTATAATATAAGAAGGAGGATATTGAAATTATTATCGATGATTGCTTATATTGACTTCTCTCCACATAAATAGATTTTTATTTGATTCTAAATAAAACTAATTAATTCATAATCTTTATTGCTAAATAAAAATAAAATAACAATCAAATTACTTACCCAAAAAAGTAGTATTACTTAAATCAGAAGTCAAATTTCTTACCAAAAAAATAGTATTACTAAAATCCGAAGTCAAATTTCTTTTATTACGTAATAAATTTTGCTAACATTTAAAATAATCTAACGACGTATATGCAAGATGAATAGAATATGTATCTGTGGTGCGACTCTTATCTTACATTCATGAGATGTAAGTTGCCGCATTAGTCTTACTTTGCGTCCCCTCTTTCCTCTATCTTTATTTTATTTTAGGGGATCAACTGAAGGTGAAATTTCAAACCTTGATATACTTGGACGTGTAAGCTATAACAAGAAAGAAAAAAGAAATTAGAAAATATAACAAAATTTAAATGTGACCAAAATCTCTTGGAATTTTTAGATGTAATATTTGCATTTTGCAGTTCGATTTTCTCAGAACTTCACAAGTAATGCACAACAAGTTACTCAAATTACATTCAACCCCCAAATAATATCGAAAACTGTCACTTTTACCCAGTTGTTTCCTCTAATGCCTAAAGCAAAGCCCCATTTAACGGCTAAATAGTGTTTTAAACTAGAAACACGGCACAATGCGCACATTAAATTCCGTGCGCTGGGACGGTGCACATTAGCCCTTATCAATCACATCCCGCCACGTCATTCAGTGTCACACCTAATTTCCCGCAACCCTTCTCCTACCCCTTGGGGGTTCTAAGGGTGGGTGGTTTGCTTGGGTGGGTGGGTATCGTCTCTTTCCTTCTTTTCCATTTTCGCTTCTCCTTTTTTTACAACACTCTCTGCAACAAAAGATAAAAAGAAAACAAAGAAGCCTCACAGTGTTTAAATTAATCAGAAAAAATGAAATTCGAAATTGAAAATTAACGACTCTATCATTTCTCATTCCCAATTCACCCCGAAGAAATAATTTATTTCCAACAGTGTCCCCATTTCGCCGCTAATTATCAATGGCTCCACCGAGCTCAGCGTCGCCGGTGGCGTTATCGAGGCCGGTAGCTCAAAGGAAGGTCCGTCCTGCAGCTGACTCATCGGAGAGCTACCGCCGGCGACGGCGTCCGCGGCCGAGGTTATCGGTATCGCCGCCGCCGAAGAAATTCAGGTCGATGGAGGAGATCATGAGAGTGGCGAAGCGCGTGGAGTTGCCGCCGGATGACGACAGCGAAGACGACGGCAACGACGGCGAGGATGTTATGTGCGAGCAATGTGGCTCAGGGGAAAGGCCGGAGGAGCTGTTACTCTGTGACAAATGTAACAAAGGGTTTCATATGTTATGCCTTCGGCCTATTGTAGTTCGCGTTCCAATTGGACCCTGGCATTGTCCTCATTGCTCGGGTGATCAAAATCGCACAATCAAAAGTACGAACCGAAAAAACAAAAATAAAAGTAAACAGATGATTTTTTTAAAACTGAATCAAATAAGTAATGTGTTTGTATGCATGATTCTGTTTTTGAGTATCATGTATAAGTGCAACTGTGTGATCAAGCAAGTGATAAAATGGACTATTTGTTTACTTTCGTTTTTATGGGTTTTTAGGTTTTTCACAAAAGAAGATAGTTGATTTCTTTGGGATTCAGAAAGGCAGTGAAGTGATGGTAAAATGTACATCTGCTCAAGGTAAATGAAAAGTTGTAATTTTTATATCGGGATACATTATGTAAACACGATGGAGATCATGATCGAATGTGGTATTTCGGTTGATGTCTATGTACTTTTGTTAAACTAAGTTTTGTTTAAAGCGGATTGGTTGACATTGATGTATGTTTGTAATACTAAGTTGTCGTTAGAGTATGGAGACAGAGGATTCATATAGCCGATTCAGCTAGTTTTGGAAACTAAACCCTCCAAACCTAAATGTGAGCTGCGATTATTCTATTACTAAAAAAAGCCTACTCAAAAGGAGGGTGTGGAGGAGGACATGAATCTTTCACTCTTAAACCTAGAAAGGGAAGCGCAAATCATCCCATTATATAGTAATAAATGTTTGTTATCTTTTCCAATTGATGTAATTTATGTTTTGGTTGCTAGATTTTGTTTCCCACTTGCTCTTTTGATACGGAATAAAGTTTTTCGAATATTCTCTTTTGTTTCTGTTTTTAGTTTTGAGCTGGTGGATCGATGAGCTAAGTGTGCATAACATATAGATTCAACATTGATGATCTCAAAATTTGATGGTGGAATCAAAATCCTACAGTTAGCTTATCATTTTGATCAAATGAATTTTTGCTAAAAATTGTCTTTCTGTCTTTGCAGTATAGCTTTTGTCTGATATCATTTGATAATCTAAAGCGATTTGCAAAAGAAGTAATAAAAGAGTAATCTCTGAATTATTTTGAGGTGACCATAAGTTATCGTTCTTCTCATAAGTTATCCCTTTGAATTGAATAACACATAAAGCTAACATATTACAACATCATAACCATGCTTGTATTTTCTTTAGTCGTTTCCTGGGCATTAAGGTTGGTCAGTTTTATCTCAGTCTAGTCATTATTTTGCTTAGTGAGTAAAAGGGATTTGAACACAGGAGGTTTCTGCTTGCAGAACAAAATTTTCAATCAAAAACAGGTTTTATTGACAAAAGATTACTTTCTTAGATGTTCTAATGTCTAAAACGTGACCGTTGCCATTGTGATAGTTGTGCATATATGAAAGAAGTTTAACCTGTCTCAGTGACCATGTTGTTTGATCAACTTTCTGCACTGATCAGACAAATATGGTATGTGCTTGTCTGTAGAGCATTCTGTTTTCTCCACATCTGGCAACTAGTTTGGATTGAGGCTTAGTTGGCTGTTGATTAATATATGCTTTAACCAAACCACTCATGTATGAGGTAAGTATTATGCTTGCGGAAAGCATTCATGCAACTACTTACCAAATTTATTAAGGATGATCTATCCTTATTAACAAAAGTATGATTTGCATATTTCAGTTAATATATAGTGTGATAGCACTTAGCAGTGGTCAGCCCAATTGCTTGTTAAAATATGAACATATTCTTGTCAATTCACTGATGCTTCGATTCATTAAAGAGCCATTTGTCAGTGCTGCACTTCATTTTTTTCCTTAGTTGTCTTATTGCTAAGTAATGTTATCCGAAAGAAGGGGCAGCCCGGTGCGTTGAGCTTCCGCTATACATGGGGTCCGAGTAAGGGCCTGACCACATTGGGTCTTATGTACGCACTCTTACCTTGCATTTCTTCGAGAGGCTGTTTCCACAGCTTGAACTGTGACCTCTTGGTCATATGGTGGCAACTTTCACCATTGTGCCAAGGCTCCCCTTCGCTAAGTAGTGTTATCCAATTAGATATATATCCTATACTAGACCATTTTCATTTAGATTGCTATAAATCCTAGACCATTTTTAGCAAATAATGTCAAAGATGTTCTTATGTCACTTGTCTTTGAAGATCTATGTACAAATATTTCTTTCGAAACTAAGATGAGTTACACTTGTACTCCCTTGTGTTTTTCTTCTTTTCATGATTTCATGTTATAATGCTGCGTTTTTCGTCGTTCTGTTTCGGAGAATGTAAATTAATGACTTGTATAGAAGAGATTATACAGATTATTGCAAGCAGATTTGTTTTCTAATCTCAGAGGTGTCCGTATATATACTTTGCTAAGAGATCCTTGTAATCCATTGCAAGCCAGTGAATTTTTTTACTTATACTTTTAGAAGGTATTGTTAGTTTATTATTTTCCATAATTCCCTGTTTACATTGTGAATAGATAGCAGAAAACGTCGGAGGCGCTGCTCACTAGTTTTCCACAAGAGACGTAGAAGGATATTGCCATTCACTCCAACAGAAGATCCTCGCAGGAGGCTAGTTCAAATGACATCTCTTGCTTCTGCACTGACAGCTCTCAATATGGAATTCAGCGATGAGCTCACTTACATGCCTGATATGGCTCCTAGATCTGCTAACTGTGCTAAGTTTGAAAGCGGTGGAATGCAGGTTTGCTCTCAGTCCTATGGTCGGTCGGCCTATTCTATAGCTCTTTGAATGTTATAAATGTGTTAGATCATACTTCAGCATGCAACATTTTCCTCTTGTATCAGGTTCTCTCAAAAGAAGATACTGAAACCCTGGAGCAGTGCAGAGCTATGTGCAAAAGAGGCGAATGGCCTCCTCTCATGGTAGTTTTTGATTCCCGTGAAGGGTACGCCTAGTTAACTTAGTTTATTCGTGCATTTCTAATCTGTTTGTTTTGTATTTGCACATGGAATGTAAAAGTTGTCTTATTAATGCAGCTATACTGTAGAAGCTGATGGGCCTATAAAGGACCTGACAATAATAGCAGAATACACAGGCGACGTGGATTATATCAGGAATCGGCAGGAGGACGATTGTGATAGCATGATGACCCTTCTTTTAGCAAGTGACCCATCAAGAAGTCTCGTTATCTGCCCTGATAAGCGTGGAAACATTACTCGGTTCATTAATGGCATAAATAACCATACACCGTAAGCCAGTAGCTCAACCTAACCTCCTTAAGCTCAATCATTGTCTCCATCTTTTCTCCACCATATGTCTTGGCTTTCTAAAGTCTTTGCTTTCTGTGATATGCTGAACCACCATATCATGTCGAGAAATCTTATAAGAATTGAAATAACCAGCCTACTGTTCTTGAGACTATTCCAATTTTTGCAGGGAGGGTAAGAAGAAGCAGAACCTGAAATGCGTGAGATACAATGTAAATGGTGAATGCCGTGTTCTTTTGGTAGCGGTTCGTGATATTGCTAAGGGAGAGCGGTTGTACTATGATTATAATGGATATGAGCATGAATATCCAACACATCATTTTGTTTAAATTTTACCTTATGTAGCTTTCCTAGTGAGCCTAGGATCAGGAGATTCTTTCTTCTTAATACCTATACAACTAGTTCAAGTTAAAGCCTTTTTTCCCCCTTTTCTTTTTCTTGATTTTCAAGGTGTAGAGCTGAATGGTGGCCATTTAGATGGAGATAGATACACCACAGAGGAGAAAATTGCGGTCAGAGTCCGGAGAGTTTTGGAGATTTAAGTTGCTAGGTGACATTGTGACTTTCAGTTATACATTGACATTTGTAGACCTTAATCTCATACAATTGTTTTAAGCACAAAAATGGCTCAGTTTTACAGAGTTTTAGAGGTAATTCTTTCTTTTATTGTCCATTCTTGACCATTTTTGGTTAATGTAAAGGCATCTTGGAAGGTTACCTTTTGAATGTGCTGATTCTACAGCCACAGATGTTTTTCCTTATCAAAATTCGATTATTTACAAAAGCAGCACCAGGTGAATATTGACAAGTTACTCAGGATTAGATTTCCTTATGAGAATCGTAGATCAGCAAAGTCCATCGATGTCAAAGCACCTGTAATTTCCTTATCCTGTCTCTGTCAAACTTTATACGATGCTATTAACATTCTTAGGCATCATTATTGCACACCAAAAATGTTCAAGACCAGATGCTATAATGGACAACTGAATGACAATGTAGAAACTGATATCTTAAGTTCTCATCGCAGCTTCTGCACGTATAACATCTAATTCATGTATTGACGTCCCTTATCATGCTTCACATGTGGTTATCCAAGTAAAGCAGGTCACCTTTACTGGTGCTTTACCTCTCTGGATTAATTTCCCGGTCCTTGTACGATGGAGCTGAGACTCGGGTGAGGACTATGGAAGGAGATTCAGATTATTTTCCAGTGGGGGATGGAGTTGCATCAAGGATCAGCTCTTAGCCCGTTTTTATTTGCCTTGACAATGGATGTGTGATGCGACACATTCAAGGAGAGGTGTCATGGTGTATGTTATTTGCAGATGACATAGTGCTGATTGACGAGACGCGTTGTGGGGTTAATGCTTGGCTAGAGGTGTGGAGACAGACCCTGGAGTCTAAAGGTTTCAAGTTGAACAAGATGAAAACAGAATACTTGGAGTGTAAGTTTAGTGTTGGGGCAAATGAAGCAGAAGTGGACGTAAAGCTTGGCACACAAGTCATCCCCAAGAGAGATAGTGTCAAATATCTTGGGTCTGTGATACAGGGTAACAAAGAGATTGACGAGGATGTCACACATCGTATTGGAGCGAGATGGATGAAATGGAGGCTCGCTTCTAGTGTTTTGTGTGACAAGAATGTGCCACCTAGACTTAAGGGAAAGTTCTATAAAGCGGTAGTTAGACCGGCCGTGTTGTATGGAGCTGAGTGTTGTTTGTGTGGACATATCGGGAGGGATAAGATTAGGAATGAGTATATTCGGGACAAGGTGGGCGTGGCTCCTGTAGAAGATAAGTTGTGGGAATCGAGGTTGAGATGGTTCGGACATGTGAAGAGGAGAGACCCTAATGTCCCGGTTAGTAAGTGTGAGAGGTTGACCATGGCGGGTCAGAGGAGGGGTAGAGGAAGGCCTAACAAGTATTAGGGTGAGGTGATTAGGCAGGACATGGCTATACTTCAACTTACTACATGACTCTCGATAAGAGGGTGTGGAGGTCGAGGATAAGGGTTGTGGGTTGACAGGGAGAATTTCGTCTAGTCTTTCCAGTAGTATAAATACTAGTCTTGTATATCCCTATTCATAGCCCCTTGCTATTACACAGTGTATCATTACTTCCAACAGGATTGGCTCATTTCTGATAGCGTCGTATTCTTAGATCTTTGTTATTGCATGTTGCACCATTTGGTTCCGTGACTTATTACCTTATTGTTGCTATTGTCCGTTTATTGCTTTATTTTCACTTTTTTTGAACCGAGGGTCTTTCGGAAACAGCCTCTCTACCGTCGTACGGTAGGGGTAAGCTCTGTATACACTTTACCTTCCCCTGACCCCACTTGTGGGATTTCACTGGATTTGTTGTTGTTGTTATTAATTTCCCGGTCCAAATCAGTTCTATTGTGCATGTGCTGATTTGGATGTTGTAGTATAACTTTACTGAGAATTTGTCTAGTTTATCTGCTTCCATAAGAGAATCAGATTCTGATTTCTTCTAAACATATGGTCAAAGCATTTCCATTTCTACTCTCTGCATTGGTTGCCTTACAAATTGCAAGACCATAATGTTAAGGTGAGTCTCCTCTATCTTTCCATAAAATTGAAGTACCCTTCCCAATTCATATCATGTAAGCTTTTTCTAAAACATATCTTCAAATCATTTCCATTTCTACTCTCTGCATTAAAAGGCCTTCTAGCTTTCTAACAAAATTGTTTAGGGGTCTAGGTAGGTGAAGCCAAGGGGGTTCAATTGAATTCCCTTCTGGAAAATTTTACTGCGCAAATAGGGCGAAAACGAAATATTTCTTTTGTATAAACTGTTGAATTTCCTTGACATAAGAAAAGTTTATAGTGTAATGGCGCAGAGGTTCAAAAATTACTTTAGATCGCAAGTCAAGTACTAAGGTGTGACATTCTTAATACTTTTTTGAATTCCCTTGTATGAACTTCTGGCTTCGTCACAGCTACTATTAACAATTTCTAGTCATGTAAACTTGTACTAACACGTGTATCCCAACATTTCCATTTTTACGAATTGCAAGACCATAATGTTCAGTTGAAGTTCCAACCAGCTATCTTCCAAAAATTTGCACCACTTTCAGCTTCACCAAATTGTAGAATTCATTACACAAATTCTTAACGTGTTTCCTTATAGCCATGCCATAATGTATATTTGGATGGAAGGCGTAGCATTCCCTCTCCATGCCATATTTGGCCTTAATTTGCTTCTACCTATCCCTCTTAATTTGTCCTGCACTGAATCTCCATGCTAATTTGGATAGGAGATGTTTGTTCTGTTACTTTAGATTTTTCTGAAAATTACACCCAATGACCTTGAAAATGGAAGGTCTTGATTTTTGACCCCGCTTGCCCTATGGGCAAAACTTCAACGTGAAAAGTCAAAAGTGATGCTCATGGGGCAAGTGAAGCCAACACTTGTTAAACTTGAAGTTCTGTCCATGGGGCATGCGGGGTCCAAAAATCATGAGTGGCACCGAAGTGTCCTATTTGTGCAAATCATCTTAGTTTTTTCTGTAACATTTGTTCCCACTGGCAAAATTTTACTCGACATCTTTGTTGTTACTCCCATCTTTCTTTAACGGTTAAGCTGTGAATTGTTGGGCTAAGTCAACGCGAAGACACCCTTAACATGATATGATACTATTGCTTTGGGCCGAGCGTGCACAATGTTCCCAAAAAGACCTCATATCTTGAGGGGTAATTCTACAACTTATATGTAATTATCAATTTCTACTGTAGGATTTTGTTTGCATATCTAACGATTTTCTCCTTTTTAAGTAAGTACCACATGATCGACCATCAAGATTCAGGGGCTTATTTGGAAATTCTTTGTGTGTCAATCACATAATCCGAGTATTTATAGTTATTAAAGCCTACAGAGTTCTTGGGGAGAATGAGACAAATAGGATCATTTTGATGCCACCGTTTAGATTCTGACCCTGGTAAAAAAAAATCTTGTAAACATAGTCTCCCGTCAGAATCTTAAGCACACTGGTCAGATATTCTTGGGCAAGTCTTATGGTGATTCAGTAGAATGCTGACGGTTGTCATAATTTTGCAAGTTATGGTAATCTTCACAAAATTCTTACAGTTGCCATATCTTTGTGCGATTGGCCACAAAATTGGCTGCAAAATGAGATATTCTCAGCCATCTGCATACCCATCTAGCCAAACCATCAGCGTTGATACCAATTTGCTAGGTTATGACAGTCCAAAGACACTCTTAACATGATCAAATACTGTCGGGCATCGGCTTTGGGCAAGTTCGCACGATTTTTCTCAAAAGACATCACACCATTAGAAGTATCTCGACATCTTATATTTAGCTTCTTTTTCTTATCAATATTCAAAGTAACACTTTATTGTACTCTGTATGTTTGTTACTGTTTTATTTACGTGCTTTGACTAACCCCTGTGTTATATTCCTAGTCCTTCTATTTTGGAGTACTGATTATTAAATTCAGTAGTTGCAATCACTTAGAAATCAGAGTTTCAACAATGCAGTGAGAAAGAATATCTCTCATGCTCCTGCCACTATTTTTTCTCTCTTGATCCCATTAATCAAATCAGTATCATATTAAACCATGATTTGGAGGTTTTGTGACATCTTTCAGACAATTGAGTTTCAAGTGATGTACATAGAGACACAAGGCATTGAGTTTCAACTTATTCCTTTTTCATCAAATATATCAATTTAGTTTAATTTATATACACCGACTAAATAATTTTTAAACTACCATTTTTTTACCTGTTGTAATAAGCTACCTTATTAAAAAAAAAAAAAAA